GCTCGACGGTGTTTTGAATCAGGAACCAGAACCGATAAGGAGATAAGAACATCATCCACAAGCCTGTGTTCATGTCTTGGTGGGGCAAGTTGAACAACACAGTGGGCTACATTTGAATATTTTACACATTCTGCCTGCATGTGTTATTGTATTCCTGTATTAATGTGTCAGTGTAGTAATTCATCTATATTTGGCTACACGTCTAAATGAAAGGGAACGGCTGCACTCAGTCACTTGTGGTGTCATGCTGCACTCTGATGAGTGGATGGTTTGGTCTGCACGATATGTTTTAGCAGAGAAAAAGAATAATAAGAAAAAATCAAACAAAAATGATAGGGTTCTAAGCTCTAAGTGGTTGGACCCTAATAAATAGTTAAAATGAGCCCTTACTCTGCCTCCTTGGCTGGAGTGCTGCCATGCCTTACTTCAGTGTGCAGTAGGTGGGGCTAAGCTGCTGTTTGATTGGCTGGTAAACATCTGTTCTGATGGACATCAGATCTCAGTTGGTGTTATGTGCAACAAACCATAAAAAAAGAAGAACACATGAAGTCTATTGCGATGGACGCAGGGTCTGAAAGGGTTAATGATCATGTGATTCACGTAGATACTTCCAGGGAGTTCTTGGTGGTCTATTTCAACTGTAAACAGAGCGACAGAACTGTGACAATAAAAGCACTGATTTACAGTATTTATATATCACACAAATATGAATATGTAGTTACATCAATATGTACTTTTAAAAGTGAAATTCGCTACAATTTCAGAATTAAACAGCTAGCGCCACTAGCATAACTTGACTTGTTGACATATTTTAGACTAATGTTACACTGGTTACAGAGCGTGTTGCTGTTGTTTACTGCTTTGAATATTTTTAGATTTATATTATTATTTTCTTAAACTTGTATGGTAAACTTAAGAGCAGTCATATAATGTTTATATATTTGGGCGGGGAGGGAAGGAATGTTTCAAAATTCAGATCAGATTCATTTTCTATTGTTATCTTTAATCTCACTCTGAGATGAGTGAGTGTGTTGGTGAAGAAGGCGACACGAGAGAGGCTACAGAATAACACAAATAACACACATGTACATTTTAACAGAACAATAACACTAACATAATTAAACCTTAAGGGGCGGGCCACGGCGCAGCTCCGCATACAACACGCCTTTAAAGCTCCTTCCCAAAGCCAGAGCCGCCACAGTATCACATGAACAACATGAACACAGGACAGCGAGGAGCTCACAAGTCTGGAGATGTAACACAATCACTATAACAAAGATCACATCTAAGGACCTGACATTACAATTCACTTATCTCATCATTATTGGGCAGAGTGACTTTCATTCCTCTTTAATTTCGCTATTAAATGGTTGGAGTCCTGCAGAATCCTTTCCCCATATCGCTTCAGTTTTCAGAATGGCTGCATGAAACGTACAACCACGTATAAAACGTAATGCCGCCCCAAATGCCGGACTAAGCCTATCCTCTCAACACTCATACCTGATCTGTTCTGTCTTTATTTTTGAGATTCTGCGACCAGACGTTCCCTCTACATGTTTATTTTTTTGTTTATTAGAACTTTTTACATTTCGATAAATAAAATACGACCCTTTATTCTACCTCTGTTTTTTTATGCTTAGATTGTGAAACTGTAATACAAAGCTATTTCATGATTTTTACACTGACAATAACAATAAAAGACGAGAATACATGGACCGCTATAGCACCAAAAAGACTTCGGTCATATGTATAACCACCCTAAAAGAACCATTTCACCATGCAAAGAGCTCTTTAGTCAGGCAAATGGTTCTTTTTGTGTTCCTAGAGCCACTGTCTTTACTAAAGGACTTTGAAGAACCATCTGTTTTTAAGAGTGAATTTCGCACAAGGGGTTGGGCATATTTGACTATGAGCAAATCAGAAACTGCTAATTTAAATGACAACTCTCTAGGCCAATCAGAAAACGCGATCATCAAGTTCTCTCATTCACTCTATCAAGCTCTCTCACACTCACTATCAAGAACGCCTTAGAGTGTGATAGTGAGTGCACTGTAAAACCTAAATGCACATCTTAATAAAAGAATTAAGTTATCACAACTTAAATACTACAGAAAGTTGGAGTAACTTAATCTGAAAATTTCAAACTAACAGAAAAATGAATTGTTGAGATAGTAACTCAGTCATTTGAAGTAAGATCGTTTTTTTGCATATTTTAAGTTAAGATAACTTCATTTAAATGTGTTATATTTTTATTTAAGTTGACAATACATGCAGACAGGCTAATGACGTTGTTTTTAAAGACTGTTGAAAATTTAGTGTTGTTTTGCCCTTTTCTGACTATATATGCACACTTATAATGTTTGACTGTTTACTCCATGTATTAGTCCTGGGTTTAGTCTATTCAGAATTAGCTAAATGTGAAAAAAAAAGTGTTAAAAGTGATGGATGCCAGGCACATCAAATAGTCTTGATGTCTGTCAGAAGTAGATGGTCGCCTCAGCACAAGCACAATATGTTCTAAAGTTTTGTAGCTAAAACATTAGTTGATTCAGTGTTTGAGCTGCTGGGATTTCTGTATCAGTAAATTTATCTGACAGACAGCATAAATGTTTACATTTAAATGATTCAGACTTCTTATGGTTTTCTTGTAACTTTATTTGGATGATTCAGACAAGCAAACAGGAGCTTTAAGTTGAATCAACTTATTGCAATGTAGTTTAGACTTTTCAGCTTCACTTATAAATGTTTGGTCAATGCAACTTTCTTGAGTAAAACTCACTTCATTCCTATTGGCTCTTGGTACCTAGTTTACATTTGGTCTACAATTACTTAGTTGTATTGAGTTAGTACAACTGTAACATATAAGTCCAAAATACTTATTTTAAAATCAACAAAATGAATGGAGTTCAGTTTGATAGTGAGTGTGAGAGAGTTTGATAGTAAGTGTGAGAGGGTTTGATAGTAAGTGTGAGAGGGTTTGATAGTGAGTGTGAGAGAGTTTGATAGTGAGTGTGAGAGAGTTTGATAGTAAGTGTGAGAGGGTTTGATAGTGAGTGTGAGAGAGTTTGAGAGTGAGTGTGAGAGGGTTTGATAGTGAGTGTGAGAGAGTTTGATGGTGAGTGTGAGAGGTTTGATAGTGAGTGTGAGAGAGTTTGATAGTGAGTGTGAGAGAATTTGATGGTAAGTGTGAGAGGTTTGATAGTGAGTGTGAGAGAGTTTGATAGTGAGTGTGAGAGGGTTTGATAGTGAGTGTGAGAGAGTTTGATAGTGAGTGTGAGAGGGTTTGATAGTGAGTGTGAGAGAGTTTGAGAGTGAGTGTGAGAGGGTTTGATAGTGAGTGTGAGAGAGTTTGATGGTGAGTGTGAGAGGTTTGATAGTGAGTGTGAGAGAGTTTGATAGTGAGTGTGAGAGAATTTGATGGTAAGTGTGAGAGGTTTGATAGTGAGTGTGAGAGAGTTTGATAGTGAGTGTGAGAGGGTTTGATAGTGAGTGTGAGAGAGTTTGATAGTGAGTGTGAGAGGGTTTGATGATGAATGTGAGAGGTTTGATGGTGAGTGTGAGAGAGTTTGATAGTGAGTGTGAGAGAATTTGATGGTAAGTGTGTGAGGGTTTGATAGTGAGTGTGAGAGAGTTTGATAGTGAGTGTGAGAGGGTTTGATCGTGAGTGTGAGAGAGTTTGATGGCAAGTGTGAGAGAATTTGATGGTAAGTGTGAGCGTTTGATAGTGAGTGTGAGAGTTTGATAGTGAGTGTGAGAGGGTTTGATAGTGAGTGTGAGAGAATTTGATAGCAAGTGTGAGAGGGTTTGATAGTGAGTGTGAGAGAGTTTGATAGTAAGTGTGAGAGGGTTTGATAGTGAGTGTGAGAGGGTTTGATAGTGAGTGTGAGAGGTTTGATAGTGTGAGAGAGTTTGATAGTGAGTGTGAGAGGGTTTGATAGTGAGTGTGAGAGGTTTGATAGTGTGAGAGGTTTGATGGAGAGTGTGAGAGAGTTTGATAGTGAGCGTGAGGGGGTTTGATAGTGAGTGTGAGAGAGTCTGATAGTAAGTGTGAGAGGGTTTGATAATGATTGTGAGAGGTTTGATAGTGTGAGAGGTTTGATGGAAAGTGTGAGAGAGTTTGATAGTGAGTGTGAGAGGTTTGATGGAAAGTGTGAGAGAGTTTGATAGTGAGTGTGAGAGGGTTTGATGGTGAGTGTGAGACGTTTGATGAGTGAATGTGAGAGGTTAGTTAGAATTGAGAATTTTGGCCTAAACGGCCTCTCATAGAAAAGCTGGTCCACTCAGCACTACTGACCTGCAGCATCACTGCTCCTCCCCCCATGCAGCACCGAGTGCTCCTACAGCAGAGAACTAATATACCCTGACAAGATAACATATAACATAAATACAGCAACACAATACATTCTTAGTATAATTACTGATACAATACAGTAGTATGTTTTAGTACTTAGCATGATTCGCTGTATAGCCCAACATGATTTGTTTTTTTAATTGATGACCAATCAGCCTTTGGTTAACCATATGACAAAACACATTATCAAATCAGAAACCAAAAGAAACACTTAATGGTTTCTAAGCAGTTTTACAGCAGGGCAACGTTCAAAAACGTTCAAAAAAGTTTGTTTTAGCATAAACCTTAATATTATGCTCAGTTTAAGCTGCTTAAGGTACAGTTTTATTCCTGCACATGTAATATAAGTGTACACATAAAGCCCCGTATTAAGGTAATTGAGCTCCACAGAACCCATTTTTTTTAGTCCAGAGCCACATAAGCTGTTTGTGTAATATTTACCCCGTGAATCTCTATATGGGTTCTAAATCTTAAAATATAATATTAGCCCAGTGCAAATGTATCAAAAATTTATTGGGAAACCACATAAAACAACTGAAGTGTTGATCAGCCAAAAACCAAAACAAGTGTCGGCGCATGCGCTGAATGCTACTGGCTTGAACCTGAACTGAAACTGAGGGTCTGCAGACATAGGCGTTTCCACGAGGCTCCTCTCATGGCTCTGGGTTTGGATTTTGAATGAGTTCATCAGTAATCGGCATGACGTTGAAATGAGGAGAAACTGAAAAAGGAGAGGCTAAATGTATTGGTGTGGGCGTAGAGGTTATATTACACGCATATAATGCTGTCTGCCTAACACAGCCGAATCTACTGGAGCTCTGTGCAGCCAAAATGCCTCTCTTATAGGAAACACTGTAGCTGGAGACACAGCGGTGAATTTTCACCAGCAGAGAGTTTCACAGTACGTTCTCTGTGTCGGACCTGCTATAGATCAGAGCTGTGAGAAGATCAGCACCTGCTGATGAAGGAAAACGGGGGACAGTCTCAGCAGAGGAGAGGAAGAACGAGAGAGGAGAGAAAGAAGATGAATGAACAGACTTTAACAGAGTCTAATGAAGGTGTGAGAGAAGAGCTGAGAGTCCACAGAGAGAGCCGAGCAGGTGAGTCTAATCAGAGCAGCAGAGCAGAGTTTTCTACTCCTGTACTTTAGACTGCAGTGTTTTTCTGATCTAACTCACCTGATGAACCAGCAGCTCTTCACTCAGCACTTCAGCAGCTCCAAATGAGTCTGATAGAGCAGAAAAGCTCATTCATTATGTTCAGTAATATGAACACATAATGATTATTCACCATTACAGTTCACACACTGAGCTATCAGTGTCTGAGGAGCTCTGATAGAGTAAACTCCGCACTGTGTCCGCTGTGCGTGGGTTACTGAGGAGACTCCGCACTGTGTCCGCTGTGTGTGGGTTACTGAGGAGACTCCGCACTGTGTCTGCTGTGCGTGTGTTACTGAGGAGACTCCGCACCGTGTCTGCTCTGTGTGGGTTACTGAGGAGACTCCGCACTGTGTCTGCTGTGTGTGGGTTACTGAGGAGACTCCGCACTGTGTCTGCTGTGCGTGTGTTACTGAGGAGACTCCGCACTGTGTCTGCTGTGCGTGGGTTACTGAGGAGACTCCGCACTGTGTCTGCTGTGTGTGGGTTACTGAGGAGACTCCGCACTGTGTCTGCTGTGTGTGCGTTACTGAGGAAACTGTGCGATATTCAGAGGTGTAAGTAAAAAATTACATTTACTTCCATTACTGTAATTGAGTACAGTTTTCCCTGTAACGGTACTTTTTGAGTAGAATTAAATCATGATACTTTTACTTGAGTACATTTTTAATGAAATACTTTTACTTCGCTACTTTAATTTTCATAACGTTATAGAGTAAAAATAAATGATGAGCGTATCAGCTCAAACACCAATAAGGACGAAGCGCGGTTAAATTTAAAAGATTCAAATCAAATCCAATCACCACAGAGATGTCCAGTTTAGCGGAGAAGGAGAAGAACTGAACCAGCACACACGAGGAACGGACCGCGACCAAACGGTCACCTGTGTCATTTAACATGAAAACTAAAGAAACCGGCGTTATTATCAGCGGCCGAACACGAAACCTGCTGAGACCCGCTCTCGCAGCTCGACTCCAGCCTGAGGCAGCGATAGCCGAGCTAGCTGATCCGAGCTAAACAGCTACCGTGTTTACGAGTTCCTTCTGTCTTTTATAATGATTCTGTTTATTAAAATTTAAATCCGCTCCGTATATTTTATTACAGTGCCTGTCAGCTACTTACAGTGCCTGTCACCCACAGCCTGCAGTTTACCGTTTATACAGCCTAGTTTAGCTGCTGTTGTGGAGATAAACGGTCATGAACGGCTGAGATAGAAATCTGGTCTAATACAGGCTCCTCATCAATTGTGAGCAGTGATTCTGTCGCGCTGTCGTTTTTTAAGCTGGCTGGCCAGATCTGATCCCTCCCTACTTCCCACCCTCTCTCTCTCTCTCTCTCTGTCTGTCTGTCTCCACCCTCTGTGTAGCTGTTCAGCTGTGAAATGCAGTAATAATGTCTGATTCTGTATGAACTGATCAGCATGGTTAGTGAAATATATTACAGTAAAAATCAAAGCTGAGAAAGTTGATGATAATTTTAATGGTGTAAATGTTCTGAACTGATATCAGTGAAAATATACAGTGTAAAGGCTGTGAATGTGTTTCTGTAGAGGTTTCTGTGACTGTCTGTAGAGGTTCACACCTATTAACATAAGCTAGAGTCCAGGGAGCTGATGGGCAGCAGGACTGTAACTAAAATTACATTATTAATTAAGCAATCTGCTCATAATTCTGACTCCATTTTTTCTCTTAAATGAACTAAATGAAACAGTAACAGCCTCTGCTCAGTCTTTCAGGGATTCTGAAATACTTTACAGGAAACAGATAAACTAGGACATCTTATATAATCATTTAATCATGAAATGCATGCAGTTTAATGTAAACCTTGTTCCTTACACAGCTCACAGAAAGGTGTGTAGATGTGCTCTAGCAGAGCAAACTGTGATCAGTCTCAGCTCTCAGAACTTTAGCTTTAGTGTTTTTCTGTACAGTTTATTTCCAGTGATGTAGCTGAATCAGCTCAGAAATATGTTCAGGTTGTGACAGTGGAAGTATGAAAAAGTAACCCGGTGCTTAAGTAGTATTTTAATGAACTACTTATTTACTCTTACTTGAGTAATTTTATTTACCAATACTTTTACTCGTACTTGAGTAAATTATCACTACAGTAATAGTACTTGTACTTAAGTAGGGATTTTCAGTACTCTTTACACCTCTGGCGATATTCTCTCTACCCTGTCCCAGGGGTGAGTTGAGTTATTAAAGCTCCTAGTTCTATTCACATGTAAAACAGTTTGCTGTTAGCACACAGTTTGCCCTGAATCTGCAGAAGCAGGTCATGAATGAATGACTGTGTTTTCAGTAACGTTTATTATAAACAGTAGTTTTTAAAAGATGTTGAGTTCCTCATTGTTACATCATTTAATATGTGGTTTTATTAAAACAGTGTTGAAAAAGCAGAGAGTCTGCAGTAGAAATAGTAACTGAGAGCTGCAGCAGACCGTGTGTTTTTTGGGGAAGTGGGGTGGAGGTGGGGGACGATAACCATGCTAATAGTTTAGATATCGCTCAGTCCTATAATGTAACTAATTTCTGAGGCTGGTTTGTGTTTCATGTGTCCCAAAAGTCTAGCAGCTCTAGATGAAGATGCTGAAGTAAGTCCTGTAATAAACTGACTGAGAGATAAATTCCTCTCATTACTGTACATTTCTGTAGGCCTGAGATGCTGATTAAACACATCATATAGTTACTGATTTGAGAGGTTATCTCATTAATTTGCTGCCATCATTTTGGTTTTATAACTAAAATGGTTTAATCTGTAGATTAGATTGTTGTTGCTGCTCCATCTACAGTCTGTTGGGTTATTAATGGGTTTTAATGTTTATGACCGTCTGTAGAGTGAATTCTTCATTCATACAGAATAAACACTTTATTTATTAATAAAATAAGGTGTTAAATAATGCTGGGCTGTCAGGCTCTAATGTTTAATTTCAGTGTATTCTGTCATTATGTTACACTTACTGGTGCACCTGCTTTACATTTGTAGACAGTGTATAAGGAAATATCTGAAAAACTTTTATTTGAACAATCAGCTATCAGAGAATTTCACTCTGTATTTTTTTCTTATTATTCTTTAAGCAGATGGTCAGTGATGTTCAGATGATCATGAGTATGTGTGACTCTACAGCTCCAGATTACAACTTAAAGAAATGTCTAATCTGATCTGATGTTGTTCTTCCTCAGACAGAGAAAAAGAAACTGATGAGTGTGATGTGAGGAGAGAGAGCAGAGAAATAAGGAGCCGCAGTCTGGATCGACTCACTCGTTTCTGAGGTGAGTCTTCTGTTCCTCAGTGCTGACCATGTCCAGTCCTGTGAGACTCTGTCCTGCACAGTTTAGTCTTTTCTCTGATCACAAACACCTGATTGACCTCCTGAAGGACTTTATACTGAACTGATGTGTTAATAAATGTGTTATAGCAGAGAGAACCTGAGGCTGAATCTGTGCTCTTTTCCATTCATTTCATCCACATCTTCACAAATCTGAGATCTGAGCTCTTCTTACTCAGACCTGCACTGTCTTTCTGTCTTTAATCACATTGATTTCTTTATCAATATGACGTTTGTGTCTATTAGACTTTATGATGTTCATGATGTTCCTATGTTTCTCCAGGTTTCCACCAAAGTTCAAGCAGCTCAGATGAAGAAAGCTGGAAGATTAATGGATAATCTGACTGAGTTTGAGAAAACTTGATGGTTTCTATTTAAACTGGACTCATATTTGATTTAGTAGAAGGTGTTTGTGTTGAACTGTTTATTTTAATATGCAGCACCTGTTACTCACAGTGATGATTTATTTCTGTTAAAAATACACTGTAGGTACTCTATTCTGTAAATACTGTTCAGTATGTCAGCAGAATTCAGAAAGTGTATTCACTGTTTCCACAAAATGTTATTTTCTTTCCTTTTTAAATTTTTACATTTAACTCAATCTGTTTCTGTAATCAGTAGAAAGTGTATTTTGTATAAAAATCAGATGAAATGTTCACTGTGTTCGTTTTCATTTTTCCTTTTTTGTTTTGTATTTTTCTATTCTTTATTTCACTGTTTAATGTATGTATTATTGCTATGTCAGTCAAATGTGATGCTGCTGAAGAAGCAACTTCTTGAAAAAAAGATCTTTCTGGACCAGTTAAAATGTTTCTGTGTCTGAGTTCAGTTTCCTCTTGTTTGTCCTGTGTTTTATGCCTTTTTTCAGTAGATTATGGTTCATTTTGAGTGTCCTGATTCTGTAATGCTGTTATGTGTATGTCGCATTACATGTTCATTGAAGGTAATTACAGCTAATTTGGAATGTAGTTTGTATTTTTATTATTTTATTTATGCTCTAATGTGCTTATAACTCCAGTTTTACTGATACAAGCTGTGTCTACAAGCTAGAAGGCTAGAAGAGTTGGTTTAGTCATGAGGTCGGATGGGTTTGTTATTTTTGGCATTTACCATCAGATGACCATCTCTGATTCCTCTTTTGTCTTTTACTTTGTTATAGCAACTCTTAAAGGTTCTCTCCTAAATTGAAGTGAAACCTGCTGATTAATGCATATTCATATTACATGTGCAGTATTGTCACGCCTCGGGCGGACTCAGACTACATTTCCCCGGAATGCATTAGGAGATCATGTGACTGAGCAACTTCCCTCAGAAGCCCCGAACAGACTCCATTGCCCACAATCCCTCGGGAGATCATATGACTTTGGACGGTTGTGCACGCACCTATCAGTGCTCACCATCACCTTAGTACTAAATACATGCACCTGTGTTTGTTGTCATATGACTCATCTACTATAGTTTATAAGCCCGGGCTTTAGTCTTAGTCTTTGCGAGGTATTGTTTCTCTTTGAACTGAGCGTTGAGCTGAGTGTTTCTATGATTTGTTTGTTACTGCCTGTTATGACCTCCGTTTTGTTTAACTGACCTTGATTTTTGCCTGTCCCTTCTTGTACCTTTGCTGACTGTTTTCGGATCTGTGTTTTGACTTTTGGCCTACTTTTTGGCAGTGATCTCTGTTCATGTTTTGTTTGCCTTTGGTTATGATCACTTCGGTGATATTTTGCTGCCTTTTGGTTACGACCCACGCATGTTTTTGACCACACCTTTGTCGAACGTTAATAAAACCCAATAGTAATAAAATACAATAGGCTTATTTTACCACTATACAGACTGATGTACACAGTGCTCTAAATTTACTGTACAATGAGTGTTAAACATAGTCAAAATATTTTGATACTTTCTTTCTATGATTCTTTTCATGCTGAGAATATTTATCTCTCATAAAATCTGAGTCCGTTGCTGTGAACAGATAAACTGACCACACTGTGAATGAAGCCTCATGTTGTTGTTGCCATATTCATTACAGAATAAACTGAACATCATCCACAATGTGTCCATGTCTTGTTGGGACATGTTGAATACAGTAGGCTACATTTTTCACCATGTACATTTAACAACACCTATAAGAAAGAATATACAGTTAATATTATGTGTTGATTCCTGTATTAGTGTGTTAATGAACTGATTAATCTATTTTAGTCTGTAAATGTAAATGAAGGAGACTAACTATTAACTTCGACTATATAAGTCAGATCTATGTTAGTGTTCATAGTTAGTCATACAGTTTTTTTTTTAATTCAGCTCCAAAGAACTGATATCTAGTTCCTCTGTCCTTGGCATCAGTATTGATGGGATTCTGGTAACACCTTCTCCCCACGTCCGCAGTGTCAGAGTAATCTTTGACCCCACGCTCTCCGGTGACCTTCATATCAGTTCTGTAGTTGACAGTATTTTCAGTCTTTGTAACATTGCTCTTCTCCGATTGTCCCTCAGCTTAGTGGATGTAGAAACACTTGTGAATGCATTTGTTCCATTCTGGTCAGGCCACTGTAATGTTCTCCTATCTGATCTCCCTGTCGAAGCCCTCAGCAGGTTATAGTATGTACAGAATGCTGCTGCTAGGATCCTCACCTTTTGATGAAGACTGACCACATCAGCCCGTCCTTCACAGTCTGCACTGGTTACCATGGTTACATTCCCTGTTCAGTACAAGGTACTGGTCTGGCTCCTCATTACCTGGTTGTTCGTCTTCATCTGTATGTCCTATACCACACCCTAGGATCACATAGTTTAGTCCTTCTTTGTGCTCTGAGGTTTAAAATTACCTCTATGGGTGGTAGATGCAGTAGCTCCCAAAATATGAAATACTCTCCCCAAGTCTGTTCAGGAAGCCTCCTCTCTGTCCTCATTTAAACCTCTGTTAAAGACAAACCTCTGCTCATTATGCTATCAGTGTTCCTGAATGATATTCCTGTAATGTCCTTTTGTTACTGATGATGATGTTGATTATGATGATGATCATGTGTTTCTGAATGTTTGTAATTTTCTGTTCAAACTGCCTCAATGTCTCTCTTACTGAGAATCAGGAAGCTGCTGTGGAGGTCAGTCACAGATTCAGCTCCGTCTCTCAATATATATATGTGTATATATATATATATATATATATGTATATATGTATATATATATATATATATATATATATATATATATATATATATATATATATATATATGTATATATACACACACACTATATTTCCAAAGGTATTCACTTGTTTGCTTTCACACGCATATGAACTTGAGTGACATCCCATTCTTAATCCATAGGATGTTTAATATGATGTCGGCCCACCCTTTGCAGCTATAACAGCTTCATATTAAACATCATATTAAACCCTATGGATTAAGAATGGGATGTCACTCAATTTCATATGTGTGTGAGGGCAGATGAGTGAATACTTTTGGCAATATAGTGTACTTTGATGACATCTCAAATGTGAGGATATATGTTCCCTCTTTGAGTGGAGCGATTGGTGACCTGTTCTCCTGTGACTAGGTGTGAGTGACGAGATAAGTGGCATAAGTGTACTGGCCTAGAGTGAATTCTCTTCTACCCTAACAAGCTTTAGCAGCATTAAATCACGTCTGCTCCACTGCATTCCCAAGCAACAAAAGTGACAGAAAGAAGTGAGTTCATGCAAAATACAGACCTGATTTAAAAGAAAGTAAACTGAAGATGCTGTATGTGTGGCACTGGAGAGTGGAAGAACGCTAGCTTCCCCGGCTAGCTGTAGTGCTCTGTCACTTGCATAGCACAATTGAAATGACATTATTGTAGTGAACTACAGAAATCAAACAAGACAAAATAACTCAGATTTTAGTTTAAATATACCTTAAAGAGGACTCTGTTTGTCTGGTGTGATAGAATCACACTGCAGTTAATGCCTTTACACAGCGAGCGTCAGTTATATTGCGGATTTTCCCAAGTACAACTTATTTTACTGACAATGTGTGTCTATGGAGACTGCATGTCTATGTGCTTGATTTTATACCTGTTAGCAATGGGTGTGGCAGAAACTCCTGAACTCAGTCATTGCGAGGGATATCCGGATACTTTTGGCCATATAGTATAGCTAACTGGACAAGACATGATTGGTGTCTGAAGTTTGCTTTTTTAGTTTTGCATTGAGGCCATAAGTCTAAGTTTAATAAATGTAGCTCTCTTTTGGAAAAGATGTTCGATTAAAAAGTATGGACATCTGTGAATGTCTTTGAGGGTTTGACAGAAAACTTTAAATTTTATCTGATGTGACACACATTAATATCTCCAAATTTTATTCAGAAAGAAGCATGTGAAAAAACACTCCATAGCTGACAAATATAGTATGTGCAGGTGGTGTACAGTAATCAGGACCTTTTCCATCCTATGATTAACAGCAAAACGCTTGAACATAACTGGCACACTAGGCTACACTGGTAACAGTACTTTCTTCAGGTTCGTTCGTGTTCACGCCTGCATTGATGAACTCTAAAATAAATGATTTCCTATAATGTTCTGAGGTTCTTACCATGACACTTAATATCACTCTTGGAAATAATTCAGCTCAGTTAGTTAAATCAGTTAGTCACACCATGTTTGGTGGAGTCAGTAAGCATATCACACTGGAAATGATTCAGTACTTGATTGTCAGCTTAGTTAGTTAGTTCATTTAGTTAAACCATCTGGGATGGACTGTCCACTGATGAGTTGAAGTGAAGGCAGGTTCCTCTTCTGTGTTTCTAGATAGACAGATCCAAAGGAACACGTCATACCCCTGGAATTGTTTGAAAAAAAAATATATATATGTTTAGATTTTTGCATTTGGCAGGCACTCTTATCCACAATAACGTAAAGTGTAATCATGTTACGGATGTAGGCAAATGTAGCATTAGGAGTCTTGCCCAAGAAAGCTGATTGGTAAAGCATGACATGTTTTCCCAAGTGGGGAATTGAAACCCAGCTTGTACAGAGGGCAGCAGTGTTACACACTATGCTACACCAACTCTTCTGTATTTGGAAAATGCTTCTTTTCCACTAATTTCCCTTCGGTGTTGAGAAGCAAGAGCAAAATAACAAAATAACAGCAACTTGTTTGGCCAGAAGATGTCAGTAAACCATCAAGTCACATAAATAAATGGTTACAGGACAGAAGCAACAAAAAGGGAACCACTTAAAATAGGGAATTTTATGCACCATCCAGTGAGTGAAATATTTAGCTAATTTGAATAGAAATCAAAATAAAAAGCTTCCATTTTGCTCTTGAAGGAAAGTTGGTGAAATGTAGAAGCTTGAACATTAGGAGCTTCATAATATAGCCTACATAAACTTAATGATTACACAGAAATACATATCATAAAATTAAAGCACAGGAATAAAGTGTAGGCTTGTGCAAAAAGAAATATGAACATGATGGAATTTTTTTTTTTACTGCTCCAACACTTTCGTTATTGGCCAATTAAAGCAATGAAAAAAGTAATTTATTTAAGACTCCATCATCTGACGATAGAGGAAAAATATCATATGCGCAATATCAAATATCAAATGC